AAAAAAAAAAAGATTCTGAAAATCGTCCCAGATTCAACAGAGATCAGTGACCTTCCAGGGCAGCCTGGCCCATCTGTGTTTACACGAGCACTCCACAAGGGTGAGGGGAACCCACCATCCTCGATACCCCAACAGCCTGATGTGGTGATGCTGGTCTTAGAATGCTTATTATGGAAGTCCAAACAGAATATCTGTCTCTTCCATTATCTCCGAAGCAGAAGATTTATTGGTATTCAGCTGTATATTCAAGTTTGGAAGCTGAAATCATTTCTGTTTCAAGAATTTTTGCTTTGGAAGCATTTTCTAGAAATTTTGATTTCCACCCTTCCAAAAAACACTTTAGGTCCTTTTTTCCTCCCTTTCTCTCTCTCTCTTCTGTTTACGTAGACTTCACTGCTTCTTGTCCTTTTCAAAGAATCACACTGGGTCCTAGAGGCTATGGAGTTTCTAGAACATGGGCACTGTGGCATGGTCAACATCATTTAGTCTTGGTGTTGGAGGAGATAACTAGGTCAGTTTGCAGCTGGTGCAGTGGCCAGATGCATGAGTCTCTGCTGAAAAATCTCTGAATACAGTGTGTCCAGCCTTTGCTTGAATGCTTTCTAGGGCTGGGAAACTCATAAGTTAGTCCATTCCCTCTTCAAATTACTAATGTTCACCCTTATATTGTGTTGGTCTGCCTTTCTCTGTAGCCTCTTGTCCAGAAAGGAATTTGTAGTCATTTGGGGAAAGACAAAGGTAGCTATGTTAGCCAAAAAATTACACAGAGGCTCGGTGCCCGTAGCTCAGCGGTTAGGGCACCAGCCACATGCACTGGTTCGAACCTGGCCCGGGCCTGCTAAACAACAATGACAACTACAACAACAACAACAAAATAGCTGGGTGTTGTGGCAGGTGCCTGTAGTCCCTGCTACTTGGGAGGCTGAGGCAAGAGAATCACTTAAACCTAAGAGTTTGAGGTTGCTGTGAGCTGTGACGCCACAGCACTCTACCAAGAGCGAGGATGACATAGAGAGTCTCTGTCTTTAAAAAAAAAAAAAATTACATAGAGACACATACTTAAGGGCCTGTGTAAGGTCAATGATGTGTGAAGCCTACCCCTGCCCAGTGTTCTCAGTGGCACTGTCAACCTGCAGTTAATCAGCCCTTCTAAGCTGGGCCACTGAGCAGAGGGAGGGACTGGCTGGCCCTGGTCCCACCTGCCAGGCACCACAGAGAGCTTGGAACTGGTGCTGGGAGGGAGTTGTTTTCCCAGAGCTGTCCAACCCGTTGGGCCTGTGCTGGGAAGCAGACCATGCAAACTCAGTCAGGGCACCAGCAGCAAAGGGAAAACGTCAGGGGCAGCACTCTTTGGGGTCCTGCAGCCCACACGGTGTGCAGGCAGCCTTCTGGGGGCACAAAGGGTGCACCTTCCTAGGTACAGGGCACATGGCTGGGAATGACCCCAGAGAGCAGGACTGGGACGGCTGAGGGCCTGGCCGTGGGGGGCTGGGGCTGGCGGGAGTTAGACACCGGAGCACACTGCCTTTTGTTGCTGTCTCCAGACCCGTTTCCAGACGGGGGTGTTGAGAATGAATGAAGGGCTTCTTCTTGTTGTCCCTGCAGGTGAATAGCAGCTGTGAGAATCCAGGCTGTCTCTGGCCTTTGAACAGGGTCTTTTATAGCAGGGAAAATGATCCCCTTCAAGGGACCTGGTGGTGAGACAGGAGCTGATTTCCTAGCGGGGGTGCTCTGTGGTCCGGGGAGCCCCAGCACCACCTGTCTGGGCAGGTCTTCTTTCATGAACATCCACCCCTTTCTCAAAGGATAAGATGGGCTCACATTAACCCAACACCCCTCTCTGCACTGTCTGTTGAAAGAACTTGATCTTCTTTTTTTTTTTTTTTTTTTTT